AGGAGGGAGAGACAGAGAGAGATAGAGAGAGAGAGAGAGGGAGGGAGGGATGGAGAGAGCGGGAAGTCATTGGGATGGAGGGAGAGACAGAGAGAGAGAGAGAGAGAGAGAGAGAGAGAGAGAGAGAGGGAGAGAGGGAGAGAGGGAGGCAGGGAGCGAGGGAGGAAGGGAGCGAGAGAGAGGCTGGGAGAGAGATGAGTCATATGTGAGGGCTTCATTGTATTGAAGTAATGGCAAACTGATACAGTTTAGACACAAACAATTCACAAAGAAAATTAATTGAATAAATAAGAAATAGGAGACTCACTTGTTCAACAGATGCTGCAGTGCTGACGCCTAGTGAAGTGGTGCCACCTTGAGGCAGTTCAAGGTTCAATTCGAGTCTGGAAATAGTAACACATATATATGATATATATCCTCTATAGAACCCTCTATAGAAAGGTCACCTGTCTATAAAGGACATTTTGGGGTTTCCCTTGATTGACCCCTACATACAGAATTGACTGCATGTATATATAAATGTATTTATTTATTTACAGATTTAAATCTCATACATGAGTTGCTTGCTATCAGTCCTATGCAATTTTGCATCTAGAGTGCAATACTCACATCTAGCTCCCACTTAAACCACTTTAACACACACCGCACGCGCAATCTTCAATACCAGGGGGCGCCGCTACCATCCATCATCACCCGCCGCCATCTCAACCATCCTGACGCATACCGCACACCACGTGTGCCACCAGAGGGCGCCGGCACCACTTGCACCCTCACACCTCGACGACCCGTCGCAATCGACGTCGCTCTCCACGCGGCCACCAGGGAGCGCTTACCCGGCCTCGTCGGCGACCTGGTGCATGAGGCCGTCGACCTCGTTCTGCGGCGCTGTGACGGTCGTTGTCGAGCTCATCGCGTTCTCCATGGACGCTGACTGCACGTCCAGGTCCTCAAACTGCTTCTCAAACTTATCCATCAACGTCGACACCTACAGGTAGCGAGTGAGCGAGAGACAGGTCAATTAGAGGTCAATTAGAGGTCGATTAGAGGTCATCGCGTTCTCCATGGACGCTGACTGCACGTCCAGGTCCTCAAACTGCTTCTCAAACTTATCCATCAACGTCGACACCTACAGGTAGCGAGTGAGCAAGAGCGAGGTCAATTAGAGGTCAATTAGAGGTCGTTGTCGAGGTCATGGCATTCTCCATAAACGCTGACTGCACGTCCAGGTCCTCAAACTGCTTCTCAAACTTATCCATCAATGTCGACACCTAGAGGTAGCGAGTGAGCGAGAGCGAGGTCAATTAGAGGTCAATTAGAGGTCGTTGTCGAGGTCATGGCATTCTCCATGGACGCTGACTGCACGTCCAGGTCCTCAAACTGCTTCTCAAACTTATCCATCAATGTCGACACCTACAGGTAGCAAGTGAGCAAGACAGGTCAATTAGAGGTCAATTATAGGTCGATTAGAGGTCATGGCGTTCTCCATGGACGCTGACTGCACGTCCAGGTCCTCAAACTGCTTCTCAAACTTATCCATCAATGTCGACACCTACAGGTAGCAAGTGAGCAAG